CTTCTAATGTTAAAGTGATTCCAGTAGTCAAAGAGAACTTTCAAAAAGATACACTAGTACAGCAAAGCAGACTGATATTTTAGAAAGAATATTACCAGTAATAAAAAGGGCAGAATTCTGATAGTTTGATGCATTAATTTTAAACCCCCCCCCCCCCCCCCCCCCAGCTCTTGAGTCAAGATGAGAAATGTTAAACAGAACTATGGTTCTCATTTTGATTGTACTGACTTTATTATATGAAATACTATCTTCCTTTTAGATGCAGAATCAAGATTTAGGTCCTTTTTGTTTAAAAGTGTGGGTGAGGCTAATTTTATATGGCAAATTTATATATAAAAATACTCTTCACCAAGTATCATTCAAAGCAATGTAATAAAAATGCAATAATTTGCATACAGCAGCATAGGCAGTAGTTATTTCATTTACAAGTGGTCTTTTTGCATTTTGTAAATAGCAAATTGTTAGAGACTAAGTATTTTATGAAATAGGTATTAGCTCATAGAACTTATACTTATTCCTTGTCCTGCAACTATCATAGAATTGATAATTTGCTTTTTCCCCCATAAACATTTTCCCCTTATTTATTTATTTGCTTTTTTTTTAATCCTCACCCGAGGACATTTTTGCATTCATCTTCAGACAGAGCGGGAGGGAGAGAGGGGAGAAGAGAGAGAGACACACACACATCGACTGGTTGCCACCCACACGACCCCAACTGGGCTGGGGACAAACTGCAACCGAGGCACGTGCTGCTAGTGGGAACCTAACCCAGGATTCTCTGGTCCGCAGGCCGATGCTCTAACCGCTGAGCCAAACTGATCAAAGGGCTAAACTTTTCCCCTTTATAAGGGTACTTTTGTTCTAGTGGTCTGTCACAGATTTGGGGTTCTACATTTTATGAACATATTTCATATCATTATAAGAATTTATTTTTGCTGAAGTGCCTATCTAGAAAGTCTGTTTTGCTCTTCTGCAGGTTGTCAGTTAAATTGCCTGCTTTTTAGATGTTTTTAATTCTTTGTGCCAATTCCATGTGCCATTTTGTGTACCATTTAGTCTTTATCTTACACTGTCTTTAAACCCTCCCCAGAGGCAGATTGTCCATGGAGCTAATGGAGGTTAAACCAAAGGGACCCTCACTTGCATGAGCCCCTTGGCATTTTATATACAAATTTCTTTCTTAATGAAGTGGTCTTTTTCTTAAAGAAGTCTCTGAAATTGTATAACATCAGACAAAATCTGTCTTTTCTAAAATAGAATACTGTTAGTGGAGATGAAAAACAAAAGTAAATGTAGATAATTTAGCTTTGTGTTTTAGGTAAAAAGGATATAAATAGAATATTTGAATGGGCTTGTGTGTGATGTCAGATTTAATTTATCATGATAATCATCAGTAGAGCACCAGATGTTTTGACTGTATTTAGCTTCGTATTAAATTAAGCATAGCTAGTGGCCTCCAGAGCCCATCTGCACTCCTGCCAGAGGTAGCACCGAAAACAGCGCCTGTCCTGTCTTTTACCACTGCTAGCTGCTCTTTCTCACTTGCCATGATATTTAGGCTTTGAACTACTCATGCAAAAGGTGAGCCTTTGTATTTGAAATTTGTATTCTGTAAATCTACTTTACTGAATGGAGAGGCTTGCATTTTTCTTTTCAGTAGGTAGTCATTTTTAATTTTATCTTATCTATAAACCAGTGTAAACAAATTAAATAAGATTAGTTAGGAGTTTATTGAAGTCTGAAGTTTAGTGAGAGGGAAATCATTGTACACAAGTGCCAGTTAGAGATATGTATGCCTGGGAAGATTTTTTCCTGATACTAATGGAAAAAATTAACTTACTGATTTTGTCAAATACATACTAAGATCTGAAAATTTTTAGTTTTACTTATACAAGTGTTAAACAAGTATTAAAATCACTTAGAACCTTTATAAGGATTTAAATGAATACACCTTGATGTTACTTAATTCCTCCTCCATCAACATAGTCGGAGAATACATGGATTCTTTTCCCATGAAGGAGGGTAGAACATACATTTGCAGTGTTCTTAGCATGAGGATCATTAAGATGGCAGACCTTACAGATCAGACAATTTTCTCTCGTACGTTCTCTCACTGTTTCCTAGAAAAGCATTTAGACATCTCTGAAATTAGACCTGTAATGCATGCTAACACCAGAACAAATATCTTAGAAATTTTATTATAATGTTGCTTTTTAAAGTCCTAAATGTCCTTTATTTAAAATGAATTCTTTTGTATTAACCTCCTTTCATATGCTAGCTTTCACCAGGCTGCAGAATTGCCTGATTTGACTTTCTAATGTAACTGTAATGAATCTTCTGGGAAGCCAAACGATTGAACACACATACTCTGCAACTCTATTGTAAAATATTCAGTCAGTCCTGTCGATGTTGCTGATTAAAAAAGAAAAAGAAAAAAAGAGTTGGGGCTGGGAGAGAAAAACTCCCTAACATATATTGAGGCTTAAAACCAAACATATTCTCTCAGGGATTTCAACCTTTACCAGACATCATAATGTGCTTAAGTATATTCAGGAACACTTTAATAAAAACATCCAGTTGGGTGGAGGCAGATTCGGCTTTGTAAAGCCAGAATTAGGACATATGATTACCTTCAGTTTTGACACATTTATGTGAAAAAGCAGCTGGAAAAAACCTGGCCCATTTGCACAGGCAGACAAATTGCTCTATGCATTATGCTTGAGTACCCAGCAGAGTTAATATTTGCTAGCCAATAAATGCACACCTACATACACCAGAGCCCAAATGTTTAACAGTGGCCTTTCAAATGTGTGTTCCTTACAAGATACTTGAGGCCTTATTTAACAGCCAGAGAAGCAAAAGGCAGGCTTTTTTGTGATATGTTGTTGTAACTAATTTTTCCCAGGTATTTATAATTTTAGCAATAGGTGTTTGGCTTATCCATGTGAAAGAAAATGAACACCAGAGATTAATAATTAAGGATATATTAGTTAAAACTGAATGTTGTAATGAGCCAGATGCTGCTGCATTGAAACAGCCATTTTCATTAGCATTTTGAAATTGAAGAGAATTGAATTTAAATTTGGAGTGCCTTGACTTTGATGAGTTAACATTTTAAAATCTTAAAAAATCCATCAAATAAAAGGTACATTTCCATGAAAGACAACACCACTCACACTGAAATATCAGGATACATAGTGAATCAAAGCCTCTGATTTAAAGAAATACTGAATTCCTTCTTTTGTATATTATAAAATAATCTTAAAATGCTTGTGAAACGAAATGATTGAAAAAGTGTGTGGAAATAAAGAATTAATTTCCCTGTAAATGGAAAAGATATAAATCACTCAAATGGAAGAGGCAATGGTGAATGAGAATGGGAAGATGTATTTTTTTCCTCTTATCGCAGGGAAGCATTTTTAATAATAGCTTGAGTGGTTTGATAAAGCATCTGAAGGAAACTCCCAGGAGATGAAGATTATACTGGAGAGAGAGATCTCTCTATGAATCATTTACGCTAACCTCTTGCTGAAGCACAGCTTGCATTTTTAATGAAGGATGATTGCGTTTCATAAACAGACCTTTAAAAATTAAAATAATATTGATCCTTCCTCATTTAGGCATATTAAAATAGCATGCTATACATCTCTTTCTAATAGCTTAGGACATTATTATTTTTAACAATACATGAACAGTTTAATAATTTCTAATCAGAGTTTCTTTAAATAGGACTTTGATTAAAATGTTTTAGGAAAATATTTTTTTATGTTAAGTAATAGCTATGAAAGCAAAATAAAAAACTATGAGATCATTTAAAGTTTGGCACTTTAAAGTATTTTCAACCTAAACTATCTGTGATAAGTTTCATTTATTTTTCTTTATTTCTTTTGATTACATCAGTTTCCTGCAGAGGAAATGGGTTTATTACTTGAAACATTGAATGTAGCAGAGGAAAGGAGATTGGCTAGGTTTCAAGAAACCTTGATTCATTTACACCCTTATGACTGAGGGCGAGTCATATTATCTGTCAGTAGTCATTGTTCTTACTTTTGGAATATGTCCCTCAACGAGATGAAGCATGTGTGAAATTACCTTGATATTTTTCTGTATTAGCACTTTGCAGTTGTGTATTGTTCTGAATACTCTTCTATGAACACGGGTCAGTAGGAATCATGTAGTTCACTGCCTTCTATGTCTGACCTAACTAGATGTGCTGCTGTCCTTTTATTTTTTTAAATGAAAATGTTTCTAAGGTAAAGATTTTGGTACAAGGATATAAAAACAGCAATGGAAACACTCCTCTTAGGTAGAAGGATTAGAAATATAAAGCAAAGTCAAAATTCAGCATCATATGACAGTCTTTTGGGTGACAGCCAATTTTATTTCTTTCCATTTGAAAAGTGGCATAATGTAGTGATTAAGAGCACAGATGTAGGAGGCAGTGTGCTCAACTCCTGTCTCTACTACTTACTAGCTGTGTATGTATGACATGTGGGCACGATATTCGGCCTCTATAGCTTTTGTTTTCTGTAAAATGGGGATAATAATAGTGGCCCTTCAAGGGCTGTTGTGAAGATTAAATGGTTTGCTCTAGAGAGCTATGTAAGTTTTTAGCTATTATTTATTTTGATTTTTTAGTTTTTTTGCAGTGACTGTAGGGTTATTTGGGGAATGTTCTTGTAAGAACGGTCAAGTGGGAGAAAGTATTATTACTCTTGAAATCAAATTTTCTCCCCTAACTTGCCTTTTATTTTACCTCTTTAATGCCTTGTATATCACTAGGTGATGATACTTATGATGTAGTTAGTTATCTAGTTACCTCCCTCCCCCTTTCAAATGAATCCTCAGCTAAAGATTTTGTATCATAATATAAAAGTGCAAAGGAAAGGCTTCTATGTGAAGTCTATGGAGTTAACTCTAGAACTGTTTAGTTTACTACTTGCTATAGGAATAAGCACAGCATTTGGGCTCTTCAGAATAAAACCATGCATATTCTACAGGTTTTTTCACCTGATGTTGTAGAGGAAATCAGCAGACCAAAACTAACCAGGCTACCATAAGTTTAACTTTGGTATAGTTCGGGAACCCTGGCAGAAACATGGAATTTGCCAACCTTTATCCTGTCCTTTAAATTTTCCATCAGAGAGATTTTCAGGTAGGTACCAAATATGAAAACATGCTTCCTGTTAAATATGAGAATATTACCTTCATTACCATGCATTGGCATTTATTTGGAGATAAAATGACTTCATTGTTTTTAAAATTTATTTATTTATTTATTTTTGTTACAGGTGTTTCTCCTTTTCCCTCCACTGATTCCTCTCTCCCCCTCCCTCCCCACCCTGTCCCCACCTTTGTTGTCCATGTCCATTGTTCATACATACATGCATATAAGTTCTGTGGTTTATCTCACCCCCCACCCCCTCTTCAGGGGATTGTCAGTCTGTACCCCACTTGCACGTCTCTGGGACTTCGCCATTCCTCAGACTGTTATGTTCATTATATTCTACAAATAAGTGAAATCATGTGATATTTGTCTTTCTCTGCTTGGCTTGTTTCGCTTAGGATAATACTTTCCAGGTCCCTCCATGTCGTCTCAAAGGATAAGAGATCTTTCTTTCTTATAGCTGCATAGTACTCCATTGTGTTTATGTACCACAGCTTTTTTATCCATTTGTCTACTGATGGACATTTGGGCTGTTTCCAGATCTTAGCTATTGTGAATAGTGTTGCTACGAACATGGGGGTACATATATTCTTTCTGATTGGTGTTTCAGGCTTCTTAGGGTATATTCCTAGAAGTGGGATCACTGGGTCAAATGGCAGTTCAATTTTTAATTTTTTGAGGTAACACCATATTGTTTTCCATAGTGGCTGCACCATCTGCATTCCCACCAGCAGTGTACTAGAGCCCCCTTTTCTCCACACCCTCGCCAACACTTGCTTGATGATTTGTTGATGGTGGCTGTTTTTTAAATTTAAACAAATATTAAATCATATGTAGTCAGGCCGATTGTTACTGGAATACTGGGTTGCTAATTTGTGATGACCCTGGCAGTGGCAGCTTGTTGAGACATTGCCCACTCAGTGAAGGCTCCCTGCTACTCTGAGACCAGCAGGGGGGTGGTTCCTAGATACTCTAGGGTGGGAGAATTATTTGTTCTTAATGTTTTGTCTTTTCATAGTGACTGAAGGAGAGGATGCCATAGAAAATCAAAGAATATAATTCTAGTTGAATCCATATTTTAATAATTCTTTCCCAATCCCTTGCCAATCTTGTCTGGTGACCTTTTGTCTGAAGAAATATTACGGAGCCCTGGCCGGTTTGGCTCAGCAGTTAGAGCGTCCGCCTGCGGTCCTGAGAGACCCGGGTTCGGTTCCCGCTAAGGGCGCGTACCTCGGTTGCAGTTTGTCCCCGGCCCTGGTCGGTTGTGCGGGTGGCAGCCACTCAATGTGTCCCTTTCACATCGATGTTTCTCTCTCTCCCTCCCACTCTACCTGAACAAAAAATGGAAAAATGTCCTCGGGTTAGGATAAAAAAAAAGAAAGAAAAAAAAAGAAATATTACGGAGAATAGTTTCTTTCCTTAGGAACAGTGCTTACCTTATGCAAGATTAGGAAATTGACAGTTTGTTTGGGGGATCCTCCCACTTACTTTTATGTGACCTTTTTACTTTCTTCAGCCCAAAGACCCTCCCCTCTGATGTAAGTAGCTTGTTTTACACCAGGGGCAGGGAACATCTGGCCCACAAAATCATTTGGTCTGGTCCTGCCAAGGCAACCCCATGTGGGACTCAAAATTAAATAAATCTAGGAGCTTTTTTCATAGCAACAAAAATTTATATTAAGTGAATCATAATAATAACACATTTTGAGGGACAAGCAAGGAACGTCCATTACGGGATAGACAGGGCACATACAAGTACATGATGGGACAGACACGTATGTTTCTCATTGGCTGCTTGTGGCCCATCTGCTTGTACCTTGGTGACTTGGAGGACAGTCAATGCCAGGCAAGCTGGGAGTGTACATGTTGGGAAAGTGTTAACATGCTGTGGTGAAACTACGGTGATCTGGTAGTAATGTGTTGAGATTAATTCCTCACGACATTGATGGCCATGCCTCTGATGATTGATAACTTTGTAGTCGACTTCTTTGTCGACCCAGACAACTGCAACCAACCTTTATGCACACGTCCACAATCAACAATACTTGCAAAAACTGAATCTCAGATGAAGATTAAGGAAATGACAGTACACAGAAAAGACTACAGCCCTGCCCTGGCCGGTTTGGCTCAGCGGTTAGAGCGCCCGCCTGCGGTCTGGAGAGACCCGGGTTCGGTTCCCGCTAAGGGCATGTACCTTGGTTGCAGTTTGTCCCCGGCCCTGGTTGGCCGTGCGGGTGGCGGCCACTCGATGTGTCCCTTTCACATCGATGTTTCTCTCTCTCTCTCTTCCTCTCTCTCCCTCCCACTCTGTCTGTACAAAAAAAAAAAAAAAGGAAAAATGACCTCGGCTGAGGATAAAAAAAAAAAAAAAAAAAAGACTACAGCCCTGGCTGGTTTGGCTCAGCAGTTGGAGCACCGGCCTGTGGAATGAGAGTCCCATGTTCAGTTCCCGCTAGGGGTATGTACCAAAAAAAAAAAAAAAAAGACTGCAAGAGTCAGTGATACAAATGTTGGATATGTTCCAAAAGTGATCAAAGCAAAATAATTGTGTCACTAGTGACACACACACTGGATAATTATTAAAACTTAAGTGGTATGACATCCTACAAATGGCAGCTACAAAGAAAAGTTGATGCAGAGTGTTGATCTTTCCGAGAGAAATGGACAAATGATTATTTTTTGGTGGAAGTCAAAGACAAACTTAAGTGACTAGTTTGTGGTGATGCATTAGCAGTAGTGAAAAAAGCCAATCTGGAGCATAATTACAGCTCAAAACATGCTAAGCTCAATGAATTGGGAGGCCAAATGAGTCTGTATAAAATCAAGGCTCTTTATTGGAGTTTGGAATCACAACATGCTGCATTCACAAGGCCTCGTTGTGACATGACAGAGACAATGTTATTCAGCTGAGTTATATAGTGAGTGAGCTAATCGCAAAGAAGCTGAGGCCCCACGCAGAGGAAGAATTTGTGAAAGAGTGCATGCATGGTGGCTGCTGTGGAGTTGTTAGCATCAGACAAAGGAAAATTGTTTCAGAGTGTTAGTTTGTCTCAGAGAACCATCTCAGATTGGATTACTGATTTAGCACAAGATACTGAAAAAACACAAGGATTGTGCAGGAAATTTCCAGTTTTCCTCTCTGGCTTGTGACGAGACAACGGACCTAACAGTTACTGCCCAACTGGCCTTTTTTGTTCTTGGGATAACTTTAGAGTTTGACACATGAGGAACTGCTGTCACTGGAAGCCATACATGGCACTAGAAGAGGTGAGGACTTGTTTGAGAGACTTGTTTTATCAGTGAAAAAACTTGAGCTAACATTTTTTTCCATCCTCACCCTTGGGCATTTTTGCATTTATCTTCAGATAGAGCAGGAGGGAGAGGGGGGAAGAGAGAGAGAAACATCAGTGTGGGAGAGACACATCAACTGGTTGCCACCCACACAACCCCAACTGTGGCCAGGGACGAACTGCAACTGAGGTACATGCCCTTAGCAGGAACCAAACCCGGGACTCTGGTCTGTGGGCCGATGCTCTAACTGCTGAGCCAAAACGGCCAGGGCTTGGGCTAACATTTGAAAAATTAAGTGGCCTTACTACAGATGGAGCTGTAGCTATATGGTTGGTTCCCAGAAGGGTTAATTGCATTTGTCAAGAAAGAACTGAATCAAACTCAGTCTTCATTAAGGTGATTTAATTATATGCCACTTCATCATACATGAAGAAAGTCTCTGTGCACAGCCATTGCGACTTAACAACGTGATGTCAGCAGTAGTGTCATGCATAAATTTTGTCAAAAGCAGAGGGCTTAACAGCCACCAGTTTGAGGAGCTACTGAAGGATCTTGAGTCTGAGTACGGTGATCTTGTTTATCATCGTGAAGTGCAGTGGCTTAGTTTCGGGAACATGTTCATGAGGTTTTACGAACTGAGGAATGAAGTCAAGCAGTTCATGGAGATGAAGGGAAAACCTGTCAGGGAACTCAGTGATAGCAAGTGGCTGTGTGATTTAGTGTTCATGGTGGACATTACCAAGTACCTCTCAGAGCTGAACATCAAGCTGCAGGGCCCCAACCAACTTCTTAGTTTCTTGCTTTCAAATGTGAAATCATTTGAAGGTAAATTAAGGCTGTGGAAAGTACAACTCGAAAGGAATGACATGGTGCATTTTCTCATCCTGGAAATGCCTTCTACTGACACTTGAAGATGCTGGTGAATGTGCAAAATTATTTGAGGCATTTAATGAAAGATTCAAGGATGTGAAAAGTAAGCAAATGGAATTGAACATCTCTGCCACACCTTTCAATGTGGAACCAGCTGATGTGCCTGATAACTTACGACACGAATCATTCAGCTGCAAAGCGATAATGAACTGAAAGCTAGGTACAACAACCTCCCACTGCTTGAGTTCTAGAAATACTACTTAAGCAGTGATGAACTTCCCACTTTGAGGAGACATGCATTGAAATATGCACCTGTGTTCATAACAACTTACTGCTGTGAGCAGTTCTTTTCAAAACTTACCATCACAAAGAGTTGACTGAGCTCCAGGCTGACCATCACAAACCTGGAAAAGCAGTTGCAAGTTAGCAACATCTTCAATACCGGCTAACATTACACTCCTTACCAAAGAGAAGCAGTTCCAACCATAACATTAGGGATGAGTTAATTAAATGTTTGACCAAATATAGCAGGCTAAATTTAAGTAGATTTTTTTTTATCTTCACCCGAGGACACTTTTTCTATTTTTTGTTCAGATAGAGTGGGAGGGAGGGAGGGAGGGAGAGAGGGAGAGAGAGAGAGAGAGAGAGAGAGAAACATTAACGCGAAAGGGACACATCGAGTGGCTGCCACCCGCACGACCCAACCAGGGCCGGGGACAAACTGCAACCGAGGTACGTGTCCTTAGTGGGAACTGAATCCGGGCCTCTTTGGACCGCAGGCCGATGCTCCAACCGCTGAGCCAAACCGGCCAGGGCAAAGTTGATAATTTTTTTAAAAAATATGTTTCATTGATTTTTTTTTTTTTTTTTTAGAGAGAGAGAGAGAGAGGAAAGGAGAGAAAGAGAGAAACATCGATGTGAGAGAGACACATTGATCAACTGCCTCCCATGTGCTCCCCACTGGGAATAGAGCCCGAAACCGGGGTATGTGCCCGGACTGGGGATCAAACTGGGACCTCTCAGTCCATGGGATGACGCTCAATCCACTGAGCCACACTGGCTGGGCTAAGTTGATAATTTTGTATGGCCTGCAAATAATGTTATAAATATCCAAATGACCCTTGGCACAAAAAAGGTTCCCTACCTCTGCCTTATACCTTCCTTACCCCTCAGGTGCTCCAAGTAGCAACTTTGCCTTCTTAACTTCTGGAGAATAGATTTTGGTACTTCGTTTTCCTGCTCTCAGCCATCAGATTAAACTGTTACACATTAAGATGTTTTACTCATAGCTCACCTAGAATTATTTGTATTAAAAGAAAGTATAAATAAATAATAGGTAGCCTTTATGCTTACTGCTTGCCAGACACTGTCTCAAGCTTCTTGACATTGTGTTAAGGAGATTTATCATTATAACAACACTATGAAGAACATACTGTTGTTTTTCCGTTTTATAGTTGAAGAAACCGAAGTAGAGAGAGTAATTTAAACACGGTTGTACAGGTAGTAAGTGGTAGAGCAGGGATTCAGACCCCGGTAGACAGGATCCACAGCCAAAGTGCTGCATCATTAATGCTGAACTACCTCTGTCTATGTGTATGGATTTCCATTTGGTAAAGTTCCAGGTAGCCTAGGTGAAATGCCTGTGTGTGTGTGTGTGTGTGTGTGTGTGTGTGTGTGTTAACTGTGGGAGAGAGTTGGGGAGAGAGATGCAAGAGATTTTTACCTTCTCCATTTTCATTGAGGCTGGTCTGTATTGCCTGAAAATAAACTTTCCCACAATTTATCTGCTTGCCCCAATTCCTTTCCTTCCTATTCTTCTGAATGTCTGCTTAAAAGTGTCAATACTAGAGACAATGTTGCATTTAAATCGGGAGTTTATGTATATTTTAGCAAGGTACTTAATCACTGCAAACTGAGCTTCCTTTCATTAAAATGGGTATAACACTAATAATACCTACTCTTAGGGTATAGTAAAGAGCAAATGAAAGAATTGATAAAAAGTGCTTGGTATAATTCCTGGCACATCCTGAGTATTTTTTTTTTTTGCAGTGACTGGGTGGGCAGAGGTTGGGATTGGTGGGTGTATGTAAACAGGGAGCTTGGATAAGTACCTTTTAGAGTTAATGAGAGATGGTCATGATGGGCAACAGAACAGCTGTTCAGAAAGTGTGTTCAGGTGTTTCAAGCACTTTGGAGCAGCTCATATTGGAAACAGACAGGGTTGATAATTGCTTTTGAAATGATATATTCAGAACTGTAGTAGTTTGAAGTGATGAAAGGCAAACTGACTGAAAATCTTATTAACCTGGGAGCTGATAAATAGTAGAGATTAATTCCAGAGAGAATAGAAAAAAGAAGGCAGATGGATTTTGCATATGGAAAAATATATATTTGCCCTGGCTGGTATGGCTTGGTTGGTTAGAGCATCATCCCATGTACCAAAGGGTCACGGGTTCAGCCCCCAGTTGGGGCGTGTGTGGGAGGCAACCCATCGATGTTTCTCTCTTTCTCTCTCTGGAATCAATGAAAAACATATCCTTGGGTGAGGATTAAAAAAAAGAAAGAAATTTATATATATAAACATTTCAAGAGGAAGGGGTTCAGAAATTAAAAAATGATTTTTCTGTGCTAATAGCACCTGTTTCACCAATCTTCAGTTAAATAAGATTTAAAGTTTACCTTTGCAAGAAACCTTAAATAAATAGACAATTTCCCAGTCTCATTGATAAGTTATCAAAAGCAACTTTATGTCTTGATTCTTATCTTACTACTAGGTACTTAAAAACAATTTCTTCTGATTAGAAAGTGATCTGTAAGCAAGCTTTAAGCTCTTAGGTTGTGAAAAAATTATAGTTGATATATGTGACTTTTTTCTTTTCATTTAAAAGTAAAGGTGATATTTAAAAAGAAACTTCCAAAATTAAATGAGACCTTAAAATCCTAATTGTTCATAATTCTAAAACATTTCTCAGTTTTTTCTTTGACAGTGAAAATCTCTGATATTCTCTGTTTAATGTAACCATTAACTCTGAGAGGATGGAAGATGACAAACCAATGACAGACACTATAGAAAAGGTATGTAGGAGGAATTATCTAAAAAAGATAGACTGAGTATATCTTTTCTACAATTCAGTGTGCAGATCCCACTCCCATTTTAAATGTTTATTTTTTCCTTAATTGCTGTTTTTCTCATCTTTTACTATTTTAACTATACTACTTTTCAATGTAAAGATTTTTTTTTTAATCCTCACCCGAGGACATTTTTCCATTTTTTTGTTCAGATAGAGTAGGAGGGAGGGAGGGAGGGAGGGAAGGAGAGAGAGAGAGGGAGAGAGAGAGAGGGAGAGAGAGAGAGAGAGAGAGAGAAAAACATCGATGTGAAAGGGACACACCAAGTGGATGCCTCCCGCATAACTCAACCAGGGCCAGGGACAAACTGCAACCGAGGTATGTGCCCTTAGCTGGAACCGAACCCGGATCTCTGGACCACAGGCTGATACTCCAACTGCTGAGCTAAACCGGCTAGGGCTAAAGATCTTTTTACACACACAGTTCTCATCAAGAACCTAAAGATTTTAATATAGCATTTGTTTTATTATATGCATGTACTAGGGAATGGAAATATGTTTATGCATATATTAATCAGAAGCATTTAAATTCATTAAAATCCTACTGATTAAATTATTAACTTTTTCAGAAGAATATTTGTACAGTGGGAAAATCTTTATTGGTAATTGGCTTGGCATGACATTTTCATAGTATTTTTTCTTTCTGTCTATTATGTGCAGCTTTTGACAGTTACAGAAGCTGTCCGCAGAATCCAGTCCTCCTGGGAAATTCCCTGGGGTGACTGCCTTTGATGGATCCTGGTTGTGCAGTTACATCAATCTATGTGCTAGAGTGAGCTGCAGCATGGAGCCTGGAGGGTTCTGTATCCTCAGTTTGAAGCATTTCTCTACTCTTTTTCTTGGCAGTTTATTCAAAGGAATATTTGCTATGTTTACTATCTTTTGGTTTGTACATAGCTTCAGCTGTCACTGGAGAGGAAAACAGTATCCTAAGATTCTGCACCTAACAATAGTATTTGTTTGTAACAACTTAAGGCATTTGATATAAAGAAATTATGTGATTTCAGCAATAGGTAAAAGATGTATTTGTTCCAAATCTATTTTTTGGTTGTTGTCAATCTTCACCTAAGGATATTTTTTCCATTGATTTTTAGAGAGAGGAAGACAAGGGGGAGAGGAAACACTAATGTGAGACGTTGATTGTTTGCCTCCCTCATGAATCCAGACCGGGGCTGGATAGTAACCTGTTAACTGGGGAATTCCCTTTTTACTGTATGCAGCGTTTGACGAATTATATGTCCCGCTCAGTTAACAGGTTAAACCTGCAACCCAGGTATGTGCTCCTGACCAGGAATTGAACCATGACCCTAGGATTCGCAGACCAATGCTCTAATTGCTGAGACCAACCAGATAGGGCTCAACTCAATTTTTTTTTTTTTATCCTCACCCAAGGACATTTTTCCATTTTTTGTTCAGGTAGAGTGGGAGGGAGAGAGAGGAACAGAGAGAGAGAGAAACATCGATGTGAAAGGAACACATCGAGTGGCTGCCACCCGCACAACCGACCAGGGCCGGGGACAAACTGCAACCGAGGTACGCGCCCTTAGCGGGAACCGAACCCGGGTCTCTCAGGACCACAGGCCGATGCTCCAACCGCTGAGCCAAACCGGCCAGGGCTCAACTCTATTTTTATTTATTTTTTTTATTTTTTATTTTTTTATCCTCACTCGAGGACATTTTTTGTTGTTGTTGTTCAGATAGAGTGGGAGGGAGAGAGAGGAAGAGAGAGAGAGAGAAACATCGATGTGAAAGGGACACATCGAGTGGCTGCCACCCGCACGACCAACCAGGGCCAGGGACAAACTGCAACCGAGGTACGTGCCCTTAGCGGGAACCGAACCCGGGTCTCTCGGGACCGCAGGCCGACGCTCTGACCGCTGAGCCAAACCGGCCAGGGCTCAACTCTATTTTTAAAGGCACTATTGATATTTAAAAATCTGTGATATTTGATATGAGCTAGTCAGTGGCAAGAGTATTTGGTGGCTAATATTTAAAAGTTTTATGGCACAAAAGGGAAACAGTGTAGAATCACACAAATCAGAGCCAGAGGCTACTAGGGCACCATGACTATTTTTAGATGAATAGTGCAACCCCTTAGGATGCTTGATAGAAAAGTATTTTCTTTCCTGGCCTGTGTGGCTCAGTGGATTGAGCATCATCCTATGGACTTAAGAGGTCCCAGTTCAATTCCTGATCAGGGCATCTGCCCAGGTTGCAGGCTCAATCCCAATATGGGACATACAAGAGGCAGTTGGTTGATGTTTCTCTCTCATATCGATGTTTCTGTCTCTCTTTCCCCCTGTCTAAAAAAAAAAATCAATAATAACATATTAAAAAAAGTATTTTTCTGAACCCCTGGCTGTTTTGAAGAGGGAATTTTATTTTGATAATAGGTATATTGAAGACACACAATAATAGAACATTCTAGAATTTAATAATTAGAATATTCAATAGTTCTGAAAGGTACTGGAATTAGCATGGGAACTTAAAAAAAAGAATGATTTAATTTGGCAGTCAGTATTATTCTGAAGAAAATTCAACATTGTACCTTTCTTGACAAAACATTTTATACATTGGTAATAATAAATTGCCATAGGAAAGTTATAGAAGATAAAATATTAAGGCTAAACAAAGGTAGTATGTGTAAGAATAGAGCTGCTTTAGTTAAGCTCTTTGTAGAAGTAAATAGTTGTGTAAGGGGGTATTGCAAACTAATCTAAGTGAATTGATTGTTCACAGTTTTTAGGTTATTTAGGGATATTAGTAGCATTCAGTAGAGGAAGGAAAAGACTGCAGTGGCAGAATGTAGAAAAGGCTAAGATGGGAGAGGAGTGGGGAGTTGTAGTAGGATAGCTGCTGCTGATGATACACAGAGAAGGGAAATAACTTGCTAGTAGAGGACGGAACCAAGGTCTGAATCTAGACAATAAGATTCAAGAGTCTAAGCCCTTAACCAGAACCTGAATGAGCTAGAAGCCACTGAAAGAGCCTGGACCCTGCTCAGTAAAACAATGCCTATTGGTTCTTAGCAGACTAGGAGATTTCTGACGCTTACTAGGTAGCGCATAGGGGCAGTACTGTGTGTACATCTGCAGCACTGTTCCTGCCTAGCCTTTGCCCTTATTTTCTCTCACTAGACTATTGCAGCATTCATTCATTCAGCAAATTTTTATTGACTACTGATGTGCCAGGCTTCCTGATTCCTCTGTAGCCCTCCACTTTTGTCCTTCTAAAATCCATTTTTAACACAGTGGGAGTCGTTTTTTTCAGAAACATAGATCACATCATTCTACTTAAAATCCTTTATGAACTCCTCATCCCACTAGGAATAAAATAGAGATTTCTTCCCATGACCATATGCCAGCATAGTCTGGCTCTTCCAAGCTTCTGATGTAACCTCTGACCATTCTCTGCCTTGCTCTATTACTTCTGTCACAGTGGCCTCCTGTCTGTTCTGTTGTTTGGGATCCTGCTGACTCTCACCCTAGGTCTGTTGCATTTATGGTGACCCCAGCCTGAGTGCTCTTCCCGCGGGTATTTGCTTTGCTTGCTCCGCTGTATAATATAGGCCTCCCTTCAGCTGTACTCCTCAGGGAAGCCTTCCCTGGCCACAGTCTCAAGTAGCCCATCATGCTACATCACCTTGTCTTGTTCTTTTAAATCATTTATCATCTGAATCGTCTGCTTATTTATTTATATATTGTTTTACCTCCTCCACTGACCAATTTTCACAAAAGTATTGTCTAAAATTGAATTCCCGGCACCAGGAGTAGTTCTCAGAACATAGTAAGCTCTCGAAACATTTTAAAAATGAATGAATAAGCTTACAGTTATCTCCTCCACATACCTCTATTAGAGTCATCATTATAAGTCAAGTTGTAAGTAATGAGGTGGTTGGGAGCACTGGGTCTGGGATTTTAATCCTGATACCATTTATTTACTGTGTGACCCTTGGCCATGTGTGACATGTCTCTTAACTCCTCCAAATCTCAAATTTTTTATCCAAAAGTTGTGATGATAATGATAATGATGATGATGATGATGATATACTCATTTCATGGGGTTGTTGTGATGATTAAAGGAATAGGTGATTAAATACTTGTAAAGCAAGTAAAACTGTACCTGGCACACAGCTTACTAGATCTTGATAACTGTCAGCCATTTTTATTATCACCATCAATGTCTTTTAAGTGTGTGATGTGCCAGAATAGAGACCCATTTGTTTAATCAGTTTTTCTCTCTCTCTTTTTTGTTAATTCTCACCTGAGGATGTTTTTCCATTGATATTTAGAGAGAGTGGAGGGGAGGAAAGAAGGGAGAGAGGGGGAAAGAGAGAGAGAGAAACATTGTGCTTCTCTCATGATCCTGACTGGGACAGGGGATCGAACCTGCAACTCAGGTACGTGCCCTTGACCAGAGTCGAACCCACAACCCTTCAGTCTGCAGGTCAATGCTTTAACTGCTGAGCCAAACTGGTCAGGGCTAATCGGGTTCTTTTTTTAAAATATGTGCGCCTTGATACCTCATTATGAGATACTTTTTATCAATCAGTGCCTATTTGGGCCTTTTAGGAATGGTAGTTTTGATTGGATAAGAGGAGGAAGAAATAACTTAGGAAGGTGAGATGAAGTTCTTGAGATGCTTAATGTCCTGGCTTCTGGGATTGGGAAGATGAAGGCTGAAAGGGAAAGTTGGTTTTTTCTACTTGGCAGTATTAACAATTCTCAAAGTTGGAATGCTACTGAAAATTGCTGGGTGAGTTTCTGGTGCCAGAATTAATATATACATACTGATAAAGAAAGCTGTAGCCTTCAGCTTTTCAATTTTTAACTCTATTTTTCTAAACCATAGGGTATCCTAATCTTAGTCTTGGATTGGAGCACAGAGTTTGTTTTGGGGAATGACAATATGGGGAAAGGATGGAAGGACAATACAAGAAATAGCAAC